AAAGGACAGTTGAAAGAGAGACAGGAAAGTGGGGGAGGGAGATTGCAGCAAAGGGCCATGAGTGGGATTCGAACCCATGGCCGCTGCATCGGAGACGACAGCCCCTGTACGTGGGTCACCAGCTCAACCAGGTGAGCTAAAGCGACGGCCCGTCAGCTGTTGTTATTTTGATTAATAGTGAATTTTTATTTGACTGATAGGTTTCTTCTGGTTGGAAGTGATACAAACAAGTGGCAAAAAATGGTAAGACATTGCTTTAGCTCGCCTCATCTCTTTCCTGTCCGGCCCTACGAATATCAGTGCGTACATACTGATGACACAATGACCCTGTTTTGTCATTAAAACATTAAGAAAAGACCAAAAACAAAAACTCACTGTATTTTGTGACATAGATAACAGCCAATGAGAAAACATCCAGGGAAAGAAATTGTTTTGCAACGAGGAAAAAGACAAGGAGTAGTAATTCTACAACTGGCTTATGAACGTAGAACTACTACAAATTATCTATATTACGCTAGTTGTCGACATCAGTCAGATCCAGTGTGTTGTTTCGGATCTTCCTGCACCGATTCTGGTTATGGAATAAGAAAGAAAACTTCAAATTAGTAGGACTACATGTTAAGCAAACGTTATGCATTCAAATGTTTTTAATTCTATACGATGTTACCGTTGTGGCCATGTTTTGTTACAGATGTAAGCTTGAAAGAAAAGTTAATTATGCTAGTTTTTGCAAATGTAGAACTGATTACAATGTTTGGTATCAATCTAATTCTGTACATTTTGAAGCCCATTAATCAGGAATTATAAAGATGTAAGAATAACCAAATAAAGTTTTTGAAATAATATATCCATTTTTGGCCATTTTGGACTGGACAGCAAAGAGTTAATGACTTGTAGAGTATCGTTCATGCTTTGCCAAGTTCTAAAGTGTTCCAGTGCACTATAAACTGAGAACAGCTGACGCAATAGCAAGTCATGGCTAAAACCACAGAGCTTAATGAGGCCCCCCAGTTGCACATTGTTGCTGCTTCCGAGACATTTAAAGGCTATAAAGTCATATCCAAGTGTTTTCAAGGTCCAGTCACCGCAGTGCTGAGCGTCATCAAAGAGTACAAGGAGTTCCACACCGTGAAGAATCTGAAACAGGATGGTGGGAAGACAAAAGTGACCCCAGCAGGGGCAAGAAGAATCCAAAGATCAGCACCAAGAGCATCCTGATGAATGTGAGCAGTTCTGGTAGCAACATCTCAATCAGACACCGAACAAGGCTGAAGACCATGAAGACCAAGGAGGGCTTCACGCCTCCAAGACAGACACACTAAAGCTCAGCTGGACAAAGAAGAACAGCTGCTGGTCATCGCTTCTGTGGTTGGAGGAGATGGAAGTGTTTGAGAAGAAAAGAAGAAGCACTCCACCCTGAGAACATTTTTCACAAAGAGGACGACATTAATATATAATATATGCATAATATCAGACAGAAACACCTGGGCAGAGTTGGACCCTTCAGCAAAACACTGATCTGCCATGGAGAGCTAGCTCCTCAGCATCAGTTACCATGGAGATCTAGCTCAACAGCATCAGTTACCATGGAGATCTAGCTCCTCAGCATCAGTTACCATGGAGATCTAGCTCCTCAGCATCAGTTACCATGGAGATCTAGCTCCTCAGCATCAGTTACCATGGAGATCTGGCTCCTCAGNCCTGCCTTCACCCTGAGTCAGCTGGGATAGACTCCAGCCCCCCCGCGACCCTAATGAGGATTAAGCGGTGTATAGATAATGGATGGATGGATGCTTCCACATCGATCCAAATAAAGCTGTAAATGAGGTCATCTGTTTGTGTCTCTAAAAGAAAGAGTTGAGATTGTTTTACTTTAACTTTTCAGTTTCTTTGTGTTTACGTGAAGCCATTGCGCAGTAACCTGGTTACACACACATAGTACATCACAATAGTGAGTCCACGTCTGGACAATGTCTTTAAACTTCAAGTATGTCAAAACCACGTCCCCTTTTTAAAAAGTGCTTCTTATTGCTTCTGAAGTGTAACAGCTGACTAGTTTGTCTCATGAACAATCTGAAACCTTTACTTTAGAACGCATATATTAAAAATCCAGGCCCCAGTGCAGACGAAAGTGCATGACTGAGACTAAACTGAGTACATCTGTGGTTTCCAACCAGCCTAAATGCATGAACATAGTTCTGAAATGAGCTGTGAACAGCAGAACTGTCTCAGTTTTGGACCAGTGGGCTGTGTCTGTCTGCATGCCTGCATCATGGCTCCACATGGAAAAGAACTGCCAGAAAAGTCTAACTGTATAACTTCACAAAGACAGAGAGGACTACATGAAACTCGATAACCAACTAAAAGTCAGAGCAGCCACAATCAGGAGGTAAAGAAGGAGCCACAGGACCACGAAGCAGAGCTGCATTCGTCCTCAACCTAAAACGACTCCACGGACAGTGAACTACTTTCACGATCTGGCTGTGGAAAACAGACGGCAGCTGCTTCAGACTTGGCACAGGGGTTATCGAAGGAAACCAGAGTTAGTGTGAAGCTCAGACAGTGGACAGTTCATTACATCAACCTCTGTGGACAGCATCCAAGAAACACAAAGCAACAACCTTGTTTTGTGTTTCCGCACAAAATTGCAAGACGAAATTTTGCTAAAGAAATCTGGTTCATACTGGGAGCGCATTCTTTAGACAAGATAAATCTGTTGGGCTCCATGTTTGTGAACCTGGTTAAGATGAGAGTAAATGCATGGTCCTGACAGTGAAGCACGGAGGTGGGAGTGTGATGGTAGGGGCCTCCACGTGTGCAAAAGGTGTCGGGGAGATGACATTTACAGATGTCAGCTTGAATATCGGTGAACATACCAACATACTGATTGACAAGATGACCCCCAGTCTGAAGAGGAAGAGAAATATTCCAGCGAGGTGACCATACAACGAACACAAAGTCACACGAGAGTTTCTAAAGAAAACCAAAGTGGCAGCTATGACCTGACCGAGTGTGTTGTCTGACTTGAGTCAAATGAAACACCATTGGTCAAAGTTAGACATTACATTTATTTGAATGTGTAGGTGCAAACATGTCCAAGGTATTGTCTTGACACACATTTGTTTTTGAGGAACAGGCAGTGAATCAGGATCACAATCACCTTAGAGTTTTAAAGGTGTCCTACATACTGTATGCCTTCTATCTTATGACGCCCTCTGGGGGCAAGGGCTGGCGTTACCTACAGGTTTACACTGATCGACCACGGTATGAACTTCCCCAACCTGGACGCTGTCGTAGGTTCCAGAGATGGACGTCCATGCCACCTTCCCGCTGCTGTAGGTGCGTTTAAAGCGTGCAGTGAAAGGGATGTCTGTCCTGTACTTATAACCCACCATCCGCACTGTGCAGGACTGGTTTGGAGGGACAAAGAGGTTCAGAGACACAGAATGGGAGACTTCTTCTGTCACAGAATTTCCTCCTGAGGCTTGGAATGATGTCTCAGCGCTGATCTCGATACCTCCGGACACGATGCTGGGGAGCCCTACTTTGAATTCTGTCTTGACACCGAGTGTGATGGAAGAGCCGAGATCCCACCTTTTCTCCTCCCGGACTGTCTTGGTTAGAGTAGTTGACTTTGACACTGGATTACACTCATAGTTGGTGACGACAGAAACATGCATAGTCTCAGGAGGATACGAGACAACTGTGGCGCCATCAGTGTTGTACCTGACATCAGTCACGAGGTTGCTCTCAACATCATTATCGGTGGTCAGGACCTTGTAGCTCCTGTACCAGTACTCACTACGTTCCCAAAGAAGAAAGAAGGATTGTTCCTCAGGAACCACCTTCCCAAGACCGTACTTGTTTTTCCCAACATAGATTTCTACACCAGCACATGTTCTGACTGAGTTTTGGGGCAGTGAACCAGAATAACCGTCCTTCCACTCCAGGATTTCAAAATCATCTTCGTTCACAAGGATCTCAAAGTTGCCGGTAAAATATACTTTGTTTTCATTTGGGAAATAGCAAAGAGGACCCTTACTGGGGGTGAAGAAGCCGGCATTGCATCTCGTCCTGCAGACAAGTTCTAATCGTTCCATATATTTGTTGTAAATTGAAACAGCTCGCAAAGGAGTTGGGTCAGCAGCGCTCCACTTCTGCCATTTTAGTTTGAGATTCCTGCTAAAGGTGGAGGGCTAACTTGCCTTTTCTGCTTTATGTGAGCAGGAGGCAGAAAATGTTGATTTGTTAACACTGATCTGTTTGCTGTGTTTTCAGAAACTGTGTCTTCAAGATCTGAAAAAATGCACAAAAACGTTTAAGTGTAAACAAAATCTAACACGTTTTTCATGAAATTAATTTAAAACGAAAGTACTGAGAAACAAAACCATTTGCTTTGTGTACAGTGAGGTGATCAGAGCATGTTTTATGGAAATATTCTGTTAGATCTTCTGAAGGTATCACAACAGTTCCAAGTAAACACTATTGTTGTTTTTATTAAGTTATCTTTCTGGCCTTTTTGCCTTTACTGGAAAGGACAGTTGAAAGAGAGACAGGAAAGTGGGGGAGGGAGATTGCAGCAAAGGGCCATGAGTGGGATTCGAACCCATGGCCGCTGCATCGGAGACGACAGCCCCTGTACGTGGGTCACCAGCTCAACCAGGTGAGCTAAAGCGACGGCCCGTCAGCTGTTGTTATTTTGATTAATAGTGAATTTTTGTTTGACCGATAGGTTTCTTCTGGCTGGAAATGATATAAACAAGTGGCAAAAAATGGTAAGACATTGCTTTAGCTCGCCTCATCTCTTTCCTGTCCGGCCCTACGAATATCAGTGCGTACATACTGATGACACAATGACCCTGTTTTGTCATTAAAACATTAAGAAAAGACCAAAAACAAAAACTCACTGTATTTTGTGACATAGATAACAGCCAATGAGAAAACGTCCAGGGAAAGAAATTGTTTTGCAGCGAGGAAAAGACAAGGAGTAATAATTCTACAACTGGCTTGTGAACGTAGAACTACTGCAAATTATCTATATTACGCTAGTTGTCGACATCAGTCAGATCCAGTGTGTTGTTTCGGATCTTCCTGCACCGATTCTGGTTATGGAATAAGAAAGAAAACTTCAAATTAGTAGGACTACATGTTAAGCAAACGTTATGCATTCAAATGTT